AGCCTACTTAGAAACGAAAAATTAAATTAAGTCTTTATAATAACAGTGATTTTGTAAGATTAAGTTTTGATGGGAGTTAATTTGGATGCTTAAACCATCAAGAGCTCATAAGTTCAAGACGAAATAAGAATGATTCCAAAGACAAATTGATGATATCCCATAAAATAAACAGTTAAGTATAAAATAATTATTCTTCTACCATCCCTACATACTGAAACAGTAGACCGATGGGTAGAAATGTAGTGAAGAAAACTGATTGAACTTGAGATGTTTTGAGAGACAAGTGGGAGTAAGGTAGGTAGGCGCAGTACATCGAAGTCGAAAAATTACTGTTTGGTAAGAAAAATAAGGCGGGCGAATGAGGGCGAGAGGGATAAGATAAGATAAGCGAGGACAGAAACGATGATGAATAGCTTGACATTGTTAAGGCTCGAAGCATTGGAGTGAGCTTAAGTCGGTTTGCATTGGAGAACAAACTGGGACATGGCGTATCGACAGGCCGCCGGGACATGAGTAAGAAGAATTGTAATTTAAGTGTGGTCACTACTTAATTTAAGCCGGAATCTGAAGGGGTGCAGATAGAAAGACGACGAGTACTGTAACTACACCACCGTCTTGTCCTGGGCAAGTCGGATAGTGTGGGCCAGGAGGGAGTTAGTGGTACAGGCCTATGGGAGAGGAGGCAATGGGACTAGGGTGTGGCATGGAGCCGTTGGCATAAACCATATTCCCGAGGGAACCGAGGCGCCTAGTTGGTGCTCTCCGATCATCTCTGGCTGGAATAAAAATTAAAATTCAGCAAACCGGCCTGAATTGCAGTGGGCTGAAAAATTAATATATGTACAGAACACCGATCGCTAGGATGGCAGGAGTGGGCATATCAGAGGGCTCTGGAGGGAAGGGTTGAGGTTGGTGACGCCACTGGATGGAGGTTTGCAAAAGGATACTGGAGGCAAGGCAGGGAAAGATGCAAAACGAACTAAATAAATGAAAAAGTGAGGACCGAAAAGAAAGAGTCTGACGGGCTCTCTGGACGATGGTGCAACAGAAAGAAAGGAAGTACGCATTTCTGGATTGGCTGAACGATATGATGAACGCAATTCGGATAAGAGGAGAGTGCAAAATTATTGCGAGGCCGAGAGATTCGGCTGATATAGATGGGTTGGCAAGATAATATCATACCTTTTTTTTAAATCATCAAGACAAACAGTGCGAAACACTCGTTTAAGCATATAAAGAGGTGGGCAAAGTTCTGCAACTGACCTACAGATGTTAAGACGCAACAGTTGTATTGATCCTCAACTGGCCGAGACGGAAACACGTTCGAAACCATACGGAGTACGGGGACAAATGCTTTGAAGGCATCAGCATCTCCCCTTTCCACAGCCTATCAACCACTACTTAGCATCCGATTCAGCAGAAAAGTACAGGTTATGAGAAGTCTGGAGGGATCTTGGTAGTCTAACGGAGGGAGTGATTGGGCCCAAGGTGTGATGATATGAGCATAAGATATGTAGCTGTACAAGTTTGAGCATGTTGTCTATCTGCTATTGAGGAAATGTTATTTTGGCAGAAGAAGATGTGAGAGAAGCGTTTTTGTTTAGCCTGGATTTGATCTTTATTTTGATTATTAGCCTGGATGGAATGAATGGCACTATATCCTATTTATTTAGAGGCTGTCTAGTATATTTCTTATAACAGAGAAGTTATAAATTATCCCTGTAGACCCTGGTAAAACGGACTCTCAAATACAGCTTTTTGAACTTGGCTAGAAAAGAGAGAAGCGCAATTGATCATGCAACCGAATCTTCTCTGAAAATATGCAAAGTTCTATAGCTCAACTTGGATCCGTCACTTCTGAATATCGATGTGGATCTTTACTATACGGTGCATGTCCCCAGAAGGCTTTTTAAAGGATCAGTTAAAACGAAGACGTTCTGTACGTCAGGTTTTTAGAGAGTTAGGCGACTCCCCTGATTCCGTGAAGCACAAGGCTCTCTGAGTCACTCTCAGCAAAGTAGGTCTAACCTACGAAACTGTCAAATCATCCAAAGCTTTCACCTGAGCAGGTGGATTGAGTTAATCGGATCCCTGGAACGTGTATAGATTACTGCCTTACCTCGACGCCATCTAACTAATATACATACATAATTACCTTAAATACAATATAACGATTATGATCTAAAACTTAAACAGAGGGAAGATGGCCCTTGCGTCTACCTGGAATGCAAACATAGTCAGATGTAAAAAAGACCACTTGCTAGCGTAACTAGTCATTGGCATTCAGTCGGTACAAGCTTAGGCAAAAACTCAGAATGACCAAATGTATAATTATAAAGTGTTTAAATAGTCCCTTGGGCCGAAGCTCTTGATTATTGCTAAAATTATCTCAAAGCTAAGCTAAACATGTATAATTGAAATATTATAATCTTCAGTGTCATGAATATCTGACTTTAAACTGGGCAAAAATGTAAGTTTAATTTAATTTCATCCTGAATCCATGCATTAGGATGACAGGCCTGAGCATAAGAGGTGAATTGATGCAAAATTTTGATCGTTAATCTGCTCGTTTTAGCTCCCTTCCAAGCTAAATTTATATCAGAGCTCAAGGTTTTTCCGACAGAATACGGTAAATTAGATAAAATAAGTTATGAAGCAAAAAGAAATAAGGAATAAAGATACTGGTAAGACATAAAATAAAAAGAATTTTGAGAAAGTGTGTATACCATTAATCTAACGAGTAAGGATAGAGGTTAAAAGAAGCTGGGTAAAGAACTAACTAGTTGGTAGAATCATAGAAGGAACGAAGAAGCAAATTATTTTGAAAGTACATTTGCTATTTTAGGATATAGAGTTAGACGTAATTCTTTTAAGGTATATTGGAGAAGAAAAAATGTAGGTGAAGATAGATATAGAATTGCCACTAAAGGATCCTTCATTAAATTCTTAAAAGTAGAGCAGCCACAAATTTAGCCCAACCATCCCCTGCATTTTTCAAATAGCTCCCGATGAGATTTCCGCTTTTTAGAAAAAGACAGGATTGCTACTGAAGAAATGAAATAGGTATGAAAATAATGAAGGAATGTTTTAGCAGTCGAACTTATCTTACAAATTCTATCAGATAGAGCTATAAAGAGCTATCTTTCCTTAAGAATATTCACCTCTCAATCGCCTCGAATGTAGTACGTTTATACGATAAGGATATTCGTCAAGAAGCTGGGATTCTATACACAATAAGAAGATCTTTGATCAGATCGTCAAAGTAGAATAATACTTTTAAATTAATCCTTTTACTATTACTCAAGATAGGATATATCCTTCATATAATATATAACATAAATCTTCGGCTGAAATGATTATTTTAAAAATACATACTGAGGAATTAATCCTTCGAAAACTATGATGGAACTAGTTCAAGCTAATAATTATCAAGGGCTAATTAATTACCCCTATACCTAGGAGTAGCACATGGTAAGCCCCAAGCAAAGCATCTCGAAGCAGATATTGGTAAATTAGCCAATTATTGAAAAAAAATGTTTAAACTAACATTATGAAACTTTAACATGACTCTAGCTAACTAATTGTTTCCGAACTCTGAGACGAATCGACGCCAACGGCATGCCTTGCCTAAATGTCTGAATCATCAAAATTGATAGTAAGAGTTACAGTTAGGTATAGCCGACTATTTCTTACTTTGGACCGTCATGCTGAGAAATTAACACAGAAATCCCAATTATATTTTCCGTGCATGTTTTGTTCATTTTTGAAGGGCAAGAAACCATAAAATACATTCTTCTCAGGAAACCTATTTAAGTGGTTTCGAATAAAGCACCTAACAGACGACAATAAATCGGCATGAGTAAATTGTAGCTGGAGATGCAGTGCTAAGCTAACATCATAGGACCTCTTATGCAGCTGTTGGTCCAAAATAAAGAGTAATTATGAAAAGTACTCCTTGAATAAAGGGTTGCTGCGTGATTTTTGGTGTCGTAGAAATGTGAGCAAAGCTTTTTTTGAAATTTAGTTATCTCTTAGACCAACTAAGTGCTCATCTATCCACCAGATTAAACCGGTAGTGTGATTTGATAACAATTTCACGATAATACTGTAAAAAAATTCCTTCGCATAACAGTTGACCATTAAAAAAATAAATATTATGTGTAAATAACTGTTAAGCGAAAAAATGACCATTCTGATCAATATTTTTATCACTTTCATTATGCCTAACATATTGTATCTGCAAATTTACTAGAGTGCAGACAGTCACCAATGTCATAATTGGTTTCAGCATGAACGAAAGCACCAGCGTGCTTGCCGCTATTATCAACGTCACTAACA